TCGGGCTCCCTGCTCAGCAGGGGGTCTGCTTCTCCCTCTGACCCTCTTCCCTCTCTTGCTATCTGTCTCTCATTCTCTCTCTCAAATAAATAAATAAAATCTTTAAAAAAAAAGAAATACTTTTAATTATGTATTATTACATCATTCTAAACTACAAATAAACAGAACATTTGAAGACCTCTTTTATATTAACTGTCTAACATCCCTTTTCTCATAAACACATAATCTTAATATTTTCTTTTGGATTCCCTGTGTCAAACAGTTAATGTTGGTGTCTTTCCTCTGTGATTTTTCATATCTTCCTGTGTCATTTCCCAGTGGTTGCCCAGTGGACATGCTACAGTTCCTGTAAATTTTGAGAGTGGTAATAAGTATACTTAATACTCAGAGGAAATTAGAGAGTCCAGTGGAGAGTTGTCTGACAATGAACCTTTATAGTCATTAATAAACAATTTTAAAAGAGAAATAAGCCAACTTAATTTTAGAAAAAAAAACGAGTCAATAAAAAGTCTCAATTTGACAAGTATTTTGTTTAAAGATTTATTTATTTATTTTAGAGAGAGTGAGAGAGCACACGTGTGCATGTGTGCGCAAGTGAGCAGTGGGAGAGACAAAGAGAGAGGGAGACAGATTCCTCGCTGAGTGAGGAGCCTGACAAGGGACCCCATCCCAGGACTCCGAGTCCATGACAAGAGCTGGCTACCTAACAGACTGAACCACCCAGGCACCCCACAATTTGACAGTTATACAAAGATTAAAGCTCAACTTAAGAAACAATTTATCAGGGATGCCTGGGTGGCTCAGTCGGTTAAGTGCCTGCCTTTGGCTCAGGTCATGATCCCAGGGTCCTGTGATCGAGTCCCACATCAGGCTCCTTGCTGAGTGAGAAGCCTGCTGCTGCACCTGCTTGTATGCGCTCTCTCTCTGACAAATAGATAAGTAAAATCTTTTAAAAAAAAGAATTTATCAATCTTTAGAAAAATAGTTTTTAAAGTTAGTAAATTCATAGAAAGTATGTAGAATTTGATGTGCTGAGAAAATATTTAGGCAAGAGGAAATAAGTATATAAAATTTTAAATCAATGTGAAATTGTAGGACTGAATGGTTGGAGAGAAACTGTAAAATATCAGGTTTGCCTGTGTCATATGAGTAGTACAATTTAAATTCTATAGCATACTAAGAAAGTAGGATCTTTTAGGGTTGAAATGATTGGAGAAGGCTTTTGTCAAAGAGGTGGTATTAGACTTGGTTATGAACAGTTTGGTAGACATTTGATAGGCGAAGATATAAGAGAATGGGGCTGCAGTCAGAGGTAATAATATAGCAAATGCAGAGTCTAGGGCAGGTTTGCACCACTCATATGATATAAGCAATCCTGATTTATAAATATGTATGCAACTGTTTGCTCTATCCTACAAAATTATAAAAAGCCTTAAGGGCAGAAACCATGTAATATAAATTTGCATGCCACAGGGTTTTGCATTTTTACAGGTTAGTCTACAAAACCAAATATATGCTAGATACGAATTTGGTGAGTATATGTGTTCCAGTGTTGACACATTTTTTCATTCTCTTCATATTTTTTTTTCTTATCCTTATGAGGCAATCCTCATCTTGAACCCAGTTTTTATGTTTGCATTCTAACTCTTGGAAAATAAAATGATTGAAACATATCTAGGCTTACCCGATAATGCTTTCACTTTATGTTATAAGGGCAAAAACAGGCATCTAGAGCATCTAGGGATGATCCCAACAACTGTGGGCAAAGGAAGCAATTTAAATGTCTTTTTTAATTTACCTACTTGAATCAGAATACAGTGAGATTAGAAAAGGGAAGTTGAGCTGTAGTCAAACAGTCTTATACTACCTAATCTGTTTAATTCCACAATGTAGGTGTCTGGGGAAGAATGGGCAAAAATAAAAATGATGGGTTCCTCTGTTAGGCTGTATTTTAGTTTGAAGGGATGCTTTAGCATTATGTAAAAGCTATGACTATTTAGTTTTTAAACTGGCAATTCCAATTTTTTAGTCCATATGAACACAGATGAAATTTTTCCTTTGAGTAACTGTTCAAAATATTAATTTCGTTTTGTTTTTTTATTTTTTTAAAGATTTATTTATTTGACAGAGAGAGAGAGAGCACTCAAGCAGAGGGAAGGGCAGAGGGAGAGGGAGAGGAAGAGGGAAAACATCTCAAGCAGATTCCCCACTGACTGCGGAGCCTGGCACTGGGCTCCATCTCACCACCCTGAGATCATGACCTGAGCAGAAAGCAAGAGTTGTAGTCTCAACTGACCAATCCATCCAGGCAATTAATATTAATATCCTTTTTAAATTAACCTTCTAGAATAGGGATTTGGGCTGTTGTTGGAGCACTTTTAAACCCAATTAGCTGTTACAACAACCAAAGCAAGGTACTCTGAGAAATGCTTTGCGACCTGGATCCTCCATAATTATCCCCAAGTACATTATTTACCAATTCCCACCCCCACTCCCACCAATTTAGGTCTCAGGAACTAACTTTGGAAGGCAGATAAAAGCCTCTTTTATTTTTTTCTATTTTTTAAAAGATTTTATTTATTTATTTGAGAGAATGTGAGAGAGAGAGAGAGACAGAGAGAGAGAACGTGCACAGGAGCAGGGCAGAGGGAGAAGGAGTGGGAGAAGCAGACTCCCCTGCTGAGCAGGGAGACCAGCGCAGAGCTCGATCCCAGGAGGAAAGCAGACTTAACTGACTGAGCCACCCAGGCTCCCCTAGAAGCCTCTTTTAGAGTAGAAATCCACCTAAGGATGGGTTAAACTATGGTGAGGTTAAAGAGGCACTCTCCTAAGGAGTGCATAAAATATAAGGAGAACCCCAAAACTCAGTAATGAAGTTAAATATTTAATGTAAAAAAGTCTATGATGAACAAAATATCAAAATTAAAACAAAAACAAAAACAAAAATAAAAACAAAACAAAAAACCGACAGGATCCTACCTTGCACTTGCATGACTCACCTCAATCGCCTCACCCTAATCTGAGTTTTTGGTTCATCCTTAAATTGAGTGCCTTATTAACATAACATAATAAAAATAATTGAGTGCCTTAATTGACTGATCATAGCCAGGCTCTGAGTCCTAAACACTTTTTCGTGTGGCCTCTTTCTGAGACCCTTCACTAAATGCCACCTTTGGTTTCAAAACCTATCGTATCAACACTTTTCCTCTGGATAGACCTTTGGTATTACAAACTTCACTCGAGGTCCCATTCTTGGTGCACTCTTGCCAAGTGGGATAACTGTTTATCAGGTGTCTGCACCTTCAGGCTCTTCTGCTCTTCCAGCTCCCAGTTTTTTTTCGATTCTCCACCTGCAGGAGACACACCATTTTGGCACCCTCCTCTGCCAGGACTGCAACACTACTTTGGCGGGAAGTTCCCACAACCAGAGAAAGAGCTCCAGCCTTTTCTACTTTCTGAGTGAATGCTCCCCTCAGTTCATTTTCATCCTCCTGCCAGAGGTAGAATGTAAAGACTGGAGCCTAGACTCAACCTGGTCTCAAAAACACTTTCACCCTGGAAATAAGTAAAAGTGGAGGTTTTGGAGATTGTGGAGAAAGCAACTGCAGTGACTTTCGCCTGCCATTACAACATAAAAGAAAAAAAAATCAAGACAACTCTGGCTTTCCCGCCGGTCTTAAGCTTGAACATTTTACATTTATCAAGTCCGCGTGCTCCTCCACCACACGAGCGGTCTGAAACGCCAGCATTAAGAGGGCTTCTGGCAAGTCCGTGGGCCACGCCCCTTGGGCAGATCAGTTTCCTTTATTGGTCTGACAGTCTGTCACTCAAATCTGGCTCCCACTCCTGCTAACCATTCACGTAGTTTGGTTGCGTCTTGGTGTATTTAATGTTGCCAATAACGAGGGATTTTTTTTTTTTTTTTCGAGCCGAGTACAGGTCGTGCTGCAATTAGTTCATTGAAAACTCAGTTGCTCTCTGAGCGCTTGGACAGAGACTGCTTTCGGCTTTTTTTCTGCTGATTGTTAAGATCTCCTATAGAGAGCTGCAACAATGCCCAAAAGAAAGGTAAGCGAAATGGGAAGATAGAAAGGGGATTAGCGACTGAAATACATATTTCCTAATCCGCAGAGATTTTTTTTTAAAAAGCATTTTCGCTTCTAGTTAGATTTTGTGATGTACTGAATGGAAGAGGAAGGAAGGGCAAAGAAAGATCGGTGTAAGATTTAGGATGGTCTTGCATGCAACTAGTAGTTCACTTTCGGCTTGTTTTGTTTAAGGGAAATAAATCGTTTAAGAGGTGTCTCCATGCTGAATTATAAACAGCCATAGCGCTGTGCTGTCGCTTCCTACCCCACCCCCCTTCCTCCGCTTACCCTATTGGAGAACACTTCTTTCAACCGCACTTCCAGGCACCAGTTTCCTCCTCAGCCTCGGGCTTTTCTCCAGGAACCGTCCCGTTTGGGGTAACTTAAGCCACGGCTTTCTCCCGTATTCGCCTTTGTTCTTCCCGTTTTCTTTTTCCTTTTTTTTTTTTTCCCCTTCCCTCCTCCACTTCTTGTCATGCCAGATGGCTATGCAATGGTAATCCTGTGCCATTAGGCGGCGCAGACTTCAAACTGCCCTAGAGAAGGGAGAGATTCACCTCTGCAATTAGCAACTTTAGGGCTAAGACATCTGGGGTTCACCAAACTCTGTGCGTAAAGGTGGAGAGATGGCAAGAGAACTGAGTAAGATAAACTATTACTGATGTTGGGGTAGCATGGATTTGTTCCCTTTTAGACATGCAGAATTGATCTGAGCTATTCCAGGGCTACAGGTATTCTGCAAACCCTCACTTCAAAATTTGTGACTCCTCTCTTGGACAGGAGATAAATTCACGCCAGGTGTTTGTTTGAATGTTTGTTTGTTGTTGTTGTTGGGGGGAGGGTCCCTTAGAAGTGAAATCAAATGCTGTTTCATTGCTTGACAAAATTGTAAAACACTGCGCTGATGTAAAGCATTGTGACTGTTTTGATATTATTCCTATTTATCCGTCTACCATCCCTATTTCTAGAACATAGGAGTAAGACCGAAATTCCCCCATGCTCTGGGGCTGTGAGTATGAATCATGTAATAGCTTGATAATTCCCAGGCTGAAGGGCTGCTCAGATACAGAAAGCAATGGTTTTTGATAACCATCCCCCTTCCTGAGATTCCCGCCGCTGAGCTTTTCTAGGTTTGTGCAATGGGTCGTGCTATTTTACGGAGCTGAGAGCAACCTTGTAGCAGGTAGTGGCGGGAAGTTTTAAAATCAGTGGCCGGCTCCTCAGAATAACGCATTGACATTGCAAAGGTTCCTTCCAAAAAAAAAGAAAAAGAAAGAAAGAGAGAGGGAGGCAGACAAAAGAAAAAGAGAGAGAGCGAGAAGAAAGAAAGAAGAAAGAAAGAAAGAAAGAAAGAAAGAAAGAAAGAAAGAAAGAAAGAAGAAAGAAAAAGAAAGAAAGAAAGAGAAAGGAAGAAGAGAGAAGAGAAAAAAAGCATTGAAGCATTGTTGGGGTTGTAGTTCTTGTATGAAAAACTTGGAAAGAATTGTCCAGTCAGTAGAGAGAATCCAATAAGTACAATTGCATATAAAACATAAGGCAAAACAGGGAAATTGCATGAAGTTCCGCCTTCATTCTGCTGGCCTCCACACTTGTTTTTTTTTTTTTTTGGCTTTAACACTGGCTACAGCAGGTGGATTTTAAAATTTAAAAGGTTTGTTTTTAGGAGATGCAATTTACACAAAAGGATGGAATTGACTATCAGTTGTGTAAATTTCTGTCTTGAGAATGGATTTGCATCTTGGTGCACATTTGCACGTTAGTGGACAGCAGTATGTAGCATGCTACTAGGAAATAACGCATGGCTACTTGAGCCAGAATCCAGGAAAAAAATCATAAGTGCTTATGTTACAACTGTAATCCATGCAATATTTTCTGATCTATGTGTTTATATCAATGATCTTATTCCTGTGTGGTTTTCTCGTTTGTATAGGCTGCCGGTCAAGGTGATATGAGGCAGGAGGTGAGGTTTTTTTTGTTGTTTTCTTTTTTAGTCTTAGAATCTGTCTGAAAAAATCCACTTGCTTTATGAATTTGAGACACATAAACAGCTAAAAAATTGGCGCTGGTTTGTATATTTGTACCATATAAGAACCAATATGGTATGCCTATGAGCTCTTTCAGAAGTATAGCAGGTATTGAAAATTCCAAACTTCTTGGAATTTAGGACCTTATGCTTAAGATATGGAGAGAGCTTCTTCCTTTTGAAAAAAAAAATTGCTTTGTCAGTTTGCAAGAAGGGGCTATGTTTTTATTTCCTTGTTATTAGCCATTGTGTTCATTGAAGTTTAATTTGGGATTTTTTTTTTCCTTATCTATGTAAAGGGTCCAGGGGAGGGAAAATAAAAATTTATATTTCTACTACATTTTCTACTCAAGTTCAAAACTTCTTCTGTAAAAACAATGTTCATGTAGTGTTATACTAAATATTTTCACAATATAATAAATCTAGTTTTGTATATCCATAATTCTATTAACTAATTATTATTATTTTTTTACTTATAGCCAAAGAGAAGATCAGCCAGGCTGTCTGCTGTAAGCGGTCATTTAAAAAAAGCTTCTCATGCATTGTAAAATGTTAAAATTCAGGGAATTCTGGACAATACTAGTTATTTTATACAAGATTTATTTTGGATGTCTTTTTTTTTTAAGATTTTATTTATTTTGACAGAGAGAGACACAGCGAGAGAGGGAACACAAGCAGAGGGAGGGGGAGAGGGAGGAGCAGGCTCTCCGCTGAGCAGGGAGCCCCATGCGGGGCTCGACCCCAGGACCATGACCTGAGCCGAAGGCAGAAGCTTAACGACTGAGCCACCCAGGCACCCCTATTTTGGATGTCTTAGTAAAAAACTTTTACACCAAGGAAATGTTTGATTTTTTTGGTTTTTTTTCCCTAATGCTAAATAAATATTATTTCCTCAATAAATTGTTTCCTAAATAAACACCCATTTATTTAAATTAAAAGGTTGGATTTCATTATTAGTGATCTTTCTTCAATTATGATTTCCTGCCCCCCCCATGACTTGTGTTTTTTGATGCAGATGCCTGTGCCCATTACACCAGAGTTGAAGCCCAAAAGAACATCAACTCCAAAGGTAAATATTCAACATGCAATGCTGAGAGAAGATTGCTTTACTTCAGAAATAATTTTTTTGGAAAGACATGCAGCTGATCATTTTGCTTTCTTTATTTCCTGTTTAGTTAGTAATATATTACATTATACCATATGGTACATGTAGGCTTTTTGAGTAAGGATATTTGTTCATGCTCTGTGTTTCGGCATTTTCATTAGGAAGAAACAAAACAAAATTTTAGTTGGGTAGACCTGTAAAATGTACATGCCTTTGACATCATATAGTCACAACACCAATATTCCTGGGAAAACAAAAGGTGTAAACTGTAGTAACCAAAGTAATAATAGGAGTAACTAACATTTGATAATACTTTACAGTTTGCACAGTTTGCAGTGTTTTCACATACATTATTTATCTATTTATTTATTAAAGATTTTATTTATTTATTTGACAGAGAGAGAGACACAGCGAGAGAGGGAACACAAGCAGGGGCAGAGGGAGAGGGAGAAGCAGGCTTCCCGCAGAGCAGGGAGCCAGATGTGGGGCTCGATCCCAGGACTCTGGGATCATGACCTGAGCCGAAGGCAGATGCTTAACGACTGAGCCACCCAGGCGCCCCTCACATACATTATTTTTAAATGAACACAATTGATTTCATATAGAATTATATACTCTGATGTTGTGGCTAACAACATGAAAAATAGAAATAGCCTCAATATTAACTTCACTTCCCCCCCTATATTTATATTTATTTATTTATGTGTAATTATGTGTAAATATAATACAATTAATTTTTAAAATTGCTTTATTGAGGTATGGATAATATTTTAAAGATTGGTTAAATTCCTAAAATCATAAAAGGTTAAAGCTAGGAGGAACATTAAAATCATCAAATCCCATCATTTTGTGATTGGAGAAACTGTAAATTATAGTCATATTTATAAAATGCTTTGAATTCCTTCATTAAAAAACTGCTAAAACTAGGGCAAGTGAAGTTTTAGCAACAATGAGTGACAACAGAAGAGAAAGGTTTTTAATTTTTTTTCTCTATTTCACATTTCAAGGTCACTATTCTGTAAAATTAGGTACCCAATTTATAGGTTATTAAGATAGTTGGGGCACCTGGGTGGCTCAGTGGGTTAAGTGTCTGCCTTAGGCTAAGGTCATGATCTCAGGGTCCTAGAATCGAGCCCTGCATCTGGCTCCCTGCTCAGTGGGGGAATCTGCTTCTCCCTCTCCCTCTGCCCCTTCCCCCCCACTCATACTCTCTCTCTATCTCAAATAAATAAATACAATCTTTTAAAAAAAGATCTTAAACACTTTATTTCCTTTAAAAATAGAAGATAATGCTACGATAAAACAAATACTATATAATAATGGACTTTAAAATGCATTAACTTACTTGGCTCTCAGTTTCTTATGTGTTAAAATAGTAATAATATACCTATATTGTATTTTATAGTTTCTAAAGCAATTTTACATATATTTTATCATTTGCTCCTTATAACATCCCTAGGAGGTAGGTGTTATTACACTTTTTTACATATAAAAGACATGCACAGGGCGCCTGGGTGGCTCAGTTGGTTAAGCGACTGCCTTCGGCTCAGGTCATGATCCCAGGGTCCTGGGATCGAGTGCCGCATTGGGCTCCCTGCTGCTTGGGAGCCTGCTTCTCCCTCTGCTTCTCTCTCTCTCTGTCTCTCATGAATAAATAAATAAAATCTTAAAAAAAAGGAATGAAATAGTGATTCATGCTACAACATGGATGAACTTTGAAAACATTATATTAAGTGAAAGCCAGTAACAAAAAGACTACATATGATATAATTTTATTTATGTGGAATGTCCAAACAAGACAAATCTATAGAGACAGAAAATGAATAAACTGGTGATTTCTTGGGGATAGCCAGGCTGGAAGAATTTGGGGGGAATGAACAGTGACTGCTAATGGGTACAGAGTTTTCTTCTAGAGAGAAAAATTATTCTGAAATTGATTGTGATGATTATTGCACAATCCTGTTATACTGAAATAAATTGAATTGTATACTTTGAATTGGTGAACTACATGGTATCTGAATAATATCTTACTAAAGTTGTTAAAAAAGAAATATGGGTATATACAATAGATTATCCTTTTCTTCATGAAATGTACACATCATATTTTATGAGTAGAAAAAAATTATCACCATCAAATATTCAAGACAATGGCATTTAAAAAGTGAAGGAAGGTAAAGGGGCCTCAATGGAAATATTGTTTCCACTATTCAAAGTCGACTTGAATGAAGTTGCAAATTTTTGACAAGAGTGTAAGAGATAAAACAATAATGCTTTTGGAAGAAAACATAAAAGTAAATATTCATGACCTTATTTTGTCTCTTACATTCAGGTATATGATCCATTTTGAGTTGATTTTTGTGTACGATGTGGAGTCCAACTTCATTTTTTCACGTGTGTATATCCCCTCTTTCCAGTGCCATTTGTTGAAAAGTTTTTTTTCCTCTTTCAGTCATTTCTTTTTATTTACAGTTTATGTTCAATGCAAATCAATCCTGTAACATGAGACGTTACTATGAATCAAAGCATAAGTACAAAGACACAATATATAATCCAAAATAGATGTATAGTATTCGGGTATGAAACAAAAAGGAATGTTCATTCACAGACACAATGGCTTGAGATGTGCTGGATATGGTTGTTCTGGTATAGGTTCCTAAAGATGAGAAAAAATGACTGGTTATCAAGACTACTGTGGCCATATTAGATATTGGAATATCTAAGCATCAGTGTGTGTGATCATGTGAACCAAAAACCTTGGAATGTTTATTTAAAAACAACAACAACAACAAAACTTTCTGTGCATTGAGGCAGTTATGAAAAGATTTACTTTCTAGAATCAAGTCCACTTTAGGCTTAGGACCATGTTCTAACTATCTAAAAATATTGACTAACAGAAAGTGTTCCAAAGGTGGCTATTCTGATTGAGAATTAAAAAAAATATTTACATGTATGGTGATTAACATAACATAATAAACAAACAAACAAACAAAAAATGTTTACAGAAAAATTAAAGAAGTTTTTCTGAATTTAATGTAAGTTTCCAGCTTTCCCTTCCCAAATACTTGATTTACAATTTTGGCTCCTGTATGCATTTTGCCTTTTTAATTTCAAGATTTGTAAACTTCACCTTCAAAACAGATCATTCAACAAGGGCATCTGGGTGGCTCAGTCCATTAAACATCTGCCTTTGGCTCAGGTCATGATCTCATGGTCCTGGGATCAAGCCTGGCATCAGGCTCCCTGCTGAGCAAGGAGTCTGTTTCTCCTTCTCCCTCTACCCCTTCCCCCCCCCCATGATCTCTCACTTTCTCTCTCTCTCTCTCAAATAAATAAAATCTTTTTTAAAAAGTATTCAATATATGCAGAAATGAAAATTATTTTGAAAATAGTTGAGGTCAATGTACTTCTACTCCTTGGGATCAGTTTAGCGAAATCAATCTGGCACTCTTGTTGAATAGGTACAGGTGATAAGTATATAAGCAAAATTTATTCATTATGCTTCAATATGAGGTAGATTCCAATCCATGTCAATTACTATATAAAAAATCAAATGCAATGTTCAATCCAAAGCCTCAGAAGAAAAAGTTCAGTTTCCAAGTAACAGTGATGGCTTAACAATGTAAAACCTTATCTAGAGTACATAGGCATTAAATTAGTACTGCTGAAACAATGCATTGAGGATTTACAGTAACACCTGGAAGTTCCTTCTAATGTACATATAAATGGAATCATGGAAGATTTTTGTATTACCTAACTGTTTCATCGCCTTAAAGATTTAATGAACCAAATGAAAACTGATTCTGTTCACATCCCATCCTCTATATCTAAGTAAGATAAAAACCTATTCTCTCTCACTACATCAAAAACTAATGATGTATTGTATGGTGACTAACATAACATAATAAAATAAAATTTAATATATGTGCTGCCGAAGTGAGCACATAATAAAACAAAATTAAAAAAAAAACCTATTCTCATTTGCAAGGTAGAATTTTACATGTCAATACTTCTTAAGCCACATTTAAAGAAATCATCTCTTAATTAATCTTGGATGTTGTGTCTTCATCTTATACAGGAAACTCCAGTAGATTTAATAGACATTCACTGTCTAGTCAAACTCTTCACATGTTCTTCAAACCAATCAAATATGGGTTCCTCAACATTTTTTTGTGTCAATAAAATAAGATGTGGAATTAGCAGATTCAATGGAAACCTGTTTTTTAACTTGTCACATTGGATGTCTAGATGCCATTTCGATTGGGTTTAGAAGATGGGGAAGTATAGATGTTTCTTGGTCTGAATCTCTAAACAGTAGAGATGTAAAAGGGAGAATGAAATCACAAAGAGAATGGCTGTTGACTACAGAGCACCGCCAGTTGCCATGGGGCTTGGTGGCATTAGCTGGATTTGGGGCAGTGGAGGTATTCTGGGAGGAGTTACTTGAAATTGTTACAACAGTTGTTTGATTTGAATAAATCTGTGTGGGTAAGAGCAGCACCAGAAGCCACAGCCTCAGTCTGAGCCTGGCCACCATTCCTCTGCCCATGTCTGGTCCCTCCGCATTGGTGCTCAGCAGGTCTCACTGAATGTGGGGTGAATGGAGAACTGCTGGTTTGTGGCAGACACAGGCAAGGTGGGCCAAAAAAACCTTTTATTCTACTGAATCTTCTTTGCATCCTTGTCAAAAATCAGTTAATCACGTATGATAATGATTACTTTCTAGATTCTCAATTTGATTCTATTGATCTATATGTTTACCCTTATGCCATTGTCTTAATTAATGCTGCTTGGTAATAAGTTTTGAAATTGGGAACTGTAAGTCCCCCAACTTTATTATTCTTTTCTAAGTTTACTTTGGCTATTCTAAGTCCCTTTAGTTTTCACATGAATTTAAGGATTGTGTTAAATATGCAGATCAGTTGCAGGGTTGGGGGTTTAGGGGAAATTGGGAAGTGACTGCTATT